ATATAATATTATGGGGATTTTGTTCTTGAAATAAATGGTAGGGAGCGACTGGGCCAGTTTAATGTAGAGACTTGATTGCTGAAAGCTTGGCTTTCTGAGGCGGGACACACTGAATAATAAATACAAAACATGTTTATACTTCATACAGATCATATTGGCTAATATAATATAGAGTGAGTGGTTGGGCCTGAGCTCTAATTGGTGCTATGTTGAGGTGAACTACTGACCATGGAAGATTTGCCATCTGTCTGAAGAACTGCCCATCCTCCCTTCTTCAGGGATGGTTTTTACAACCTTATTGACCTTGACAACCATGTACAGCACTTATTGAAAGGTCAGACACTTAGGACCCTCTCACATGGACACCTGAATAGAACTGATTAGATGCCACCATTGTGACATCTGTGTCTGTCCAGTTTTTCCCTCTATCTTCCAGGCTTACTGGACCCATGTTAGGTCTGTGGGGAGTCAGATGTAAATGGGCATCAGATAACCCCAGATTCATCACCATCAGGTCCACCAAAACAGACCTAGATGGGGCAATTGAATGTAAATTGATGCATGTCCATTTAGATCTGTCTGACCCATCTTTGAGCTTTTGATCAGATGTGCCTGATAAACTGGTCGGACTGCCAACCTTAGGCTAAGCCATGTTACTCTTCAGGTGCTCTCACAGAATAACAATCATTGGCATGCATTATATGGTGTCTTGCGTTATTGTTAGCACTATTGCTAAAAAGCTGCAGCCTTGCCCATTCCACTGTAACCTGTCTTAATCTCAGTATGAGTTATAATCTCTTAACAGCTTTTTACCCATGCTTCTCTGCAGCCATGATATTTCCAACACACAGCTACCCTGTCCAATAATCCTATTGAATGGCATCTCCAAACTTTGCTCAGTTGTGATCCACAATGTTTGCAATGTCTGAATGCCACCAATGGCAGCCACCAATGGCCACCAACACTGCCAGCATACATTTAGGAATAGTGAAGAGAAAATCTGCTCTGATTCACTTTATTGGCCTTCCTACAAACTTGAACTTGGTAGCCGCACTGAAGGCAAATGATCTAGCATTGATCTCTGGCATTGAGGTGATTGGTAAAGGGTTCCTGATGACCATTGAACAGATTATTTCATATCTCTTATGGAAATTTAGTAAAGTTAAAACAAGGATATTTATGTCCTCATGATGTGTCTCACCCATTAAGCTATGCATTGGTATTTGGCCCTTTAAACCCCTTACCAGTCTCAAATAAGAGGGTCTTCAGATCTCTCATATCTGAAGACACTCATAGTTTTATCATCTTTTACTTCTGGTGTAGCACCTGACTGTTTCTCCAATTCGTGGTCAGCAGGGTTTGTCTCTAAGTAATCAGACATGGCATCTCCATCCTCTTGGCTACTTGATTGATCTTGTTTATCAGTGTCATTGTGAAGTGGATTCCCTGCAAACATCAATGCATTTCAAAATAAGAAAGTTAACATCAAATCTGAATTCCAACTTTAATATCATTCATTCCTGTGGTCTTTAAAGTATTTTGATTTTTGATGAGCCACTTAGTGAGCAATATCTTGCTGGATCAGGGACAGGTGAGTATGAAGGTGCCAATACACCTTACAATTATCTGCAGATTTTCTGTGGTCAGATGGAAACAATGCAACAGATTCCTCCATCTATGCTAAGCTGTGTGGATGAAGGAATCTCCTGCTGGGGCAAGCTTCGGTATCTCGCTAGTCGGCCTCGCTGGCTGTCAAAATACCTGAACAATCTGATTGGATGCAGGGATTGTTCAGGTGTTTTGAAAGCCAGCATGGCTGACCAGCAAGATTACGGACGCTTTGCCCAGGTGGAGATTACTCCATCTACACAGTTAAGTGTAGATGGAGGCATCTATTGCACCTTTTCCATCTGACCATAGAAAGTCTTCAGATAATTGTAAGGTGTATGGCCAGCTTAAGTCTAGGATATTGAAAGGGGCTGGTAGCAAAGGGTGGGAAGTTACACTGACCCTGTCACCAGACCATTCATTTCAACAAAATATTCCCATAAGATTATAGAGTATGTGCATTTATTGTTTTTTGTGTGAGTTTCTTACCTGTGAAAGCTTCACTTGTGTAGACAACCAAAAGCCCTGAGACTATAGCTGGACACCACCATCTTGGATGTGATTTCAGCAGCCACAGCATAGCCATAGCTGTATCTGCCCCAGCAGCTACAGAAAAGATTATACACGGAGGTGAAAGAAGTGGCTGAGGACCTTGGCCAGCACAGAGAGTAATTAAACACTCCCAGAAGAAGGTCAGTGATGTAAGTAGAGAGACCCCTCTGCTAAGGAATTGACTAGTCAAATGTTCTGCTCTAAGAATGCACAATGGTGAGAAGCCATTTTTTACTCCTCAGGGAGCTAAGAGAATTGGCACAGTGGGGCACTGCTATATCTATATTTTACAATAGTATTGAATTTGAGGTAACCCTAATCATACTTACCAACACATGCATTAAAAAGGGAATGTATTCGAGAGACAAAGTAATCATTTTTGCCACTTTACAAACCGTACCTGGAAAGGCTCAGAATTTCTAGGTACAGTGTACTGCTCAGCCAAAGGTGGAGCACAAAGACATTGTCTGGGGCATGGGGCTCTGAAGAAGTCAACCCCCATGTAATGTATGTAGTACGCAGAGGTGGGTGGAACAGGCGGAGAAGGTCTGGAGAGAGCGTTCATCTGATCTTGCGTTGTCCCTTCAAGCACCACAGTGGTTTTATTTGTGTGATTGGGCTATAAGCCTGCATTTTATGTAAGTATATTTTAATAAAGTACTTTATACAGTCAAGCAGTGTGCACTATGGTATGTGTTTGTTCTCATTATGGGCTAATACAACTTATGTATTGCTGGGTACCAAAGAGGAACAGGTAGAGATTTACAAGTAGATCCAATTGTGGGCTTAACCTCACCCGGCCACAAAGACAATCAGTGTGATCAGATCTACTGTGAAGGCAGTTTGAAAACTGGGCAATGGAACAGGGCATTTAATTTCCAGAGGGCCACCATCTCGGATTCAATCAATATATTAGAACATTGAGAGGAGGAATGGAGCCAGTAAATGGCATGTCTCAAAAGACAGGACAAATACAAACGCACATTGGGGAAGGATATGGGTAGATGCAGCTTCTTCAAAGCGATGCAAGGTCACTTACCCTGCCAGGCGAATGCGGTAAATGCTCTGTTGAGGGACAGGGCATCTTTGTGCTTAAAGTGACATTAAACCCTCATATTTTTTAACATAAAACAATACTGTAAAGCGTGCCTTACTGTAATCCATGGTTGTTTCCCTTCTCTTTGCTGCTCTTCCTTTTAAACCCTCATGTCTTCTCTTGCTTGGGAAGAACTTCCCTTTTCAGCTCAGGGCCTCTTCCTGTAGTGCTGGCTCAGGTTTCAAGCCTATAGAAACGTATACACAGACACCGTGTATCCATTC